TCCGCACCCTGTACTCTTAGCGAAGTTCTTTACTGGCCGGTCTGCCCCAGCCCCAAGGAAGGCCTTTTAAAATAACCCCCACACACACACAGTTTTAAACTCGAGTCCAGTGTCGCCATTAGCGGTATCCATACGAAACACTTAAACCCGTCGAGAATGTGCTCAACGTGGATCAGAGGTTTAGGCCCCCAGAAAGATGAGGATCTTAAGAACCCGGGGACTTAAGCCATTTCTGAGATAAACGTGGCAACAGGTGGTGTTCCCAATGATGAAACACTCTGGTTTTCGCTGTTAGGGTTGTGCTGTTCACTAAGCCATGTTCCATGTTCCCATGTGCTACTGACCAAATTAGGACTATTTACGATTTCCACTTGGGAACACTTGTGAAGTGACGTCTGTTGTGGACATTTGAAAAGGCCCAATCCTATTTAGGTCACTTAAAAGGTAATATCACATCTCACTATTTACTCTTTCTTACCTACTATCTCATGAACTTTTCTTGAAAAGAACAAATGGGGGCAAAAAAAAAAAAAAAGGCTCAGAGGCACATGCTGGTCTTGCAGAGGACCTGAGTGAGGTTAGCAGCACCTACATTACAAACCACCTATAGCTTCAGCTCTGAGGGATCTGAAGCCCTCTTCTGGGTCCTGGGAGCACCTGCACTGATGTACACTTGTCCCTATGTCGTTGCCCCCCCCCAATTTAAAAAAAATAAATCTTACAAAAAAACCCAAATGGCTATTCACCCCAAATAGGGCACCAAAGACATACCAAAGAGATGAGTCCACCCAACTATAGTTTGGTCAATAGGACTTTAATTGGGGTTACTTCCAGAAACATGAGCAACGTATCAGTGGCTGTGCAGGAAATATGTCTCCCAGGGAATGGCAGGAGCCTGGGAACTCCTCCCCAGGCAACCTGATATTTCTGTAGGGTGTGACTGAGACCTCATGAGCACCCTCCATGACAGTGATGATGGGCTCAATCTTGTGTGGATCTCCAGTAAGTAACCACAGATTTGCTGAATTCAGGAAGGGGACAGTTTTACCATTCCCTAAGGACAGCATTTCATTCCACACATCCTCTCTAAGAAACCAGGCACAGGAGAGGAGGGAAGGAAAACTGTGGTCAATATGTAAAAAAACAAATGATAAAAATTTAATTAAAAGAAACCAGGCACAGAACTCTTTTCGTTCTTCAGGACTCCACTCCATGCAGGCTGAGACATTTTAAATGCCTCTGCTTCCGTGCCTAGCTATATTTTCTGTGGCTAGTCCATTATCTGCCTCCAACCCCCCTCCTTCATTACACTTAGTAACTCAGTCTCAATATTAAAAGCCATCTATGCTCTCAAACACCTGGTAGAAACACCAAGGGGGGCAAACAAGGAAAACAGGTTCCTTTTAAATGTAGACACTCTTGATGTGTCATGCCATAGCTGTTGATGTTTACAAGACATTCTAAATAACAGTACAGTGTTCCATTGGTGGGTAGGTAAGGAAGAAAGGGGAAGCCTCAGTTACCAGGGGTGGGTATGGGGACAGCATCCCCTGTAACTTCATTGGATGGGTTGCATGGAAGAATCTGCTTGTTTGGCTGAAAAACCAGGAAGGAGTGAACTATCTGTGGGAACTAGACAGCTGACTGTGGAGTTTGGTAAATTACTTTGAGCAACAGGACTATTACCTTAGAATTTTAAAAGATAACTCAGTCACATTTAGTTTTTCAAACATTCATTCCAAGAGTTACAGGGCTGGAATGATGGCTGGCTCTGCCCTCATGATCTTCCAGAGAGGTCTAGGGTTTAATTCCCAGCAATCATGTTTCACAATCATCTGTAACTCCAGTTCCTGGGGAGTGCCCTCTTCATGGGCACTGCATGCATGTGGTATATGGACATACATGATACAAAACACTCATACATTTAAAAGTAAAATAATTGAGAGGGGGTTGGTGGGAGGAAAGAAACCACAAAAAGGAGAAATTCCCCTAAGCTGAGTATAGGTTAAAGGCTTACTTATGAATTTTAACCTCCAGACAGAGTGGCTCATAATATAAAAAAGAGCCTGCCTTTAGCAGGATAATAACCTCCTCAACTCTTCCAGGACTTGGACTTAACACTGAGAGGTGGGAAAGCCTTTAATCCCAGCACTCAAGAGACAGAAGATATGAGTTCCAGGACAGCCAATGGCACACAGAGAAACCCTGTCTCAAAATCAAAACAACAACAACAACAAACTAGAAAATACATACATTTAGTGGAGATATTAACTTGTTAAGATTGATGTGCACACTTTTGATTCCAGCACTCAGAATGCAGAGGCAGGCCGATCTCTGAGTTTGAGGCCAGCCTGGTCTACAAAGTGAGTTCTAGGACAGCCAGGGCTGTTGCACAGAGACACCCTGTCTCAAAACAGCATTAACAATAAAAGAAGAAGAAAAATGTTTCCCTCTTTTTGTTCTCCCTCCATCAAACTTCCCCTTTTGTCAGTTGGCAATGAATGCCACAGACATTTTGAGATTGGCTGAACTCAGTATACACCTAATTTGGACTTAGTAGGGTACTTGTGTGTTTACTAATAAATGATGAGGGATGTCCTTCTAAATGCTGTGACTATGTTTCTCTTATTGGTCGATGAATAAAGCTGTTTCAGCCAATGAACAGGCAGGGTGTATCCGGGCAGGAAGTATAGGTTGGGCTGCCGGACTAGGAGGATTCTGGGAAGAGGACACAGAAAGGAGTCTGGAGGAGACACCATGTGGATACCAGGAAGGCAGGTCGCCTGGGCAGTCTCCTGTAAGCCAAGACCACGTGGAGATACATAGATTAATAGAAATGGGTTAATTTCTAGTAGCCAATAAGAAGCCTGGGCCATTGGCCAGTTTATAATTAATATAAGCCTCAGTGTGCTTATTTGGAACTAAAGGGTTATGGAACTGTGTGGGACAGAAACTTCTGCCCACAAATAAATTATCTCGCTACAGGAATAGTTTCTGGACTGAACTGTCTGCCTATTTATGTTAAAGCAGTGAAGCAGCAATAGTAACTCCAATTTGTATGTTTGTTTGTTTTGAGATACAGTTTCTCTGGCTATCTGGAATTCTCTCTGTAGACCAAGCTGGCCTAGAACTCAGAGATCAGCCTGCCTCTGCCTCCCCAGTGCAGGGACTAAAGGCATGCGCCACCACACCCTACTCAATCTTTAAAGAGGTAATGTCATTAAACTCTAACACAATATGACTGTTGTCCTAACAAGGGAATTCAGTCATGGATGTGAATGCATATAAAGGCATGGGACAGGCATGGTGTCACACAACTGTAATCCCAGCACACTAAGAGGCAGGGGCAGAACGACTCACATTCAAGGCCAAGTTCAGGGTCTACACAGTGAAACACTGCTTGGAGGTGAAGGAGGCTGTCAAATAAGGGAAGACCTCAGAATGAAACATCTTCCTCTTGGGCTTCTGGTCTAAGCTCAGTGGGAGAGTGCTTGCCTAGCAATAGCAGGCTTGAGGTAAGAACCCAGCACCAAAAACACAATACCCACAAAGAACCTGAACAAAAAAAAACATGAAAAGGTACGTGAGTTTGAGCCATTCTGTTATGGTGGCCTTAGCAATACCTTACATCATATAGGAAAGAATTGGCAAAAATATTGGTTTTTGAGACAGGTTCTCAACATTAGCCAAGACTCAGATGCCAGGCTAGCCTTGAACTCCTGAAGTCCTTCTCAGCCTCCCGAAGTGTTACAATTACTGGTATGAGCCATCATGCCTGGTCTAAAATTTCTTTATAACACAATCAAATTTGTAAATATAATATTTTGTAATTACCATACCTTAAAATTTAAGATTATGCTAGAAAACTGAAATCCTTTGTTTGTTTTGGGGTGTTTTGAAGTTGTTTTTGTTTTTTAAGACAGGGTTTCTTTGTGTAGTCCTGGTTGTCCTGGAACTCTGAGTTCAGTTTGGTTTTGAACTCAGAGATTCACCTGCCTCTGCCTCCCAAGTGCTGGGATTAAAGGTGAGCACCACCACCCGGCCCTCTTTCTTATTCTTTATAGTAAATATTATTTACTCGTCATGTGAAAAGGCTATCAGAGCAGAAGGATTAGCAACGCTTAGTAGATACAGGCACCTGCTGCCATGCCTGATCACCTAGGTTTGATCCCATGGAAACCACAGGGTGGAAGAGGAGAGCCACTCCTGCAAGGCTGTCCTCTGCTTCTTTATGTGGGTCTCGAACACGCGAGTAACCCTGGTGGAGTGGTGCATATCTTTAATCCTATAATTCAGGAGGCAGAGTTCAGTGGATAGCCTGGTCTACACAGTGACATCACGACAGCCAGGGTTACATAGTGAGACCTGTGTCAAATGAACAATGACAACAAAAAGCTATCAAGGATCATGTATCCAAACACATCACAGGAGAAAAAAATGTTGGCCAGATAGGTCATTTTCACCAGCTTTTAAAAAGCTATAACTTATTTCCATCTTTTCCAAATTTATAATTGTTCAATTGTGCCCAATTTTGTATTTTTCTTCTTAAAAGTTGTATACTTCAGCCAGGTAGTGGTGGTGCACACCTTTAATCCAGCACTCAAGAGGCTGATCTCTGTGAGTTCAAGGCCAGCTTGGTCTACAGATCGAGTGCCAGGACAGGTCCCAAAACTACACAGACAGAGAAACCTGGTCTTGAGAAACAAACAAAAAATGTATACTTCAGGGACACAGAAATCTGACTCTACCCTGTAACCAAATATATGCTCCATTTCTGTCCAGTTTTTTGTGTCTCCTAAGAAATGTCAGAGTTGAAGAAAGCTGGAAAGCTGAGTAGTCAGAGCTGCAAGTATTGGCAATTTGTGATGGATCTGAAATATCAAAGGCTACATTAAAGTTGTCTGTGAAAGAAAGAGTCCAGATAAACCCACCACCAAACTAAGATGTCTAAGTATGGAAAGAGGCTAGGATCACAGAACCCCTGCACAGCCTCCACCTACCTCTCCCTGGGGGTCTGGCCCTCATGTTGATTCTTCACATGTGGTATCACTTTCAATACACACTAAAAGTGGGTGCTCTACAATGACATCATCACTTGACAATTATGATGTAATGACGAGGCATGCTCCAACTAGGGCTTCCCTCGTAGATCTGTTGTCTCATTACTGTAACACGAAAAATAGAAGACCCAGAGACAGATACTGGGATTCAAGCTGAAGATCAGAAAAGCAGTCAGCCACTAGCTCTTACTTCTACCTCACACTGAAAGGGTTGATCCTGCCTTTATGAGCTCTTACCAAGCCTCAGATTGCTGCCTCTCAAAGTGGCTGGAGAATAAACACCGCCAGCTCTGAGATGCTGCTCCTGTCTTAACTACCTGGGGTTAAAGGCGCGAGCTCTGTTTCTCTTTTAGACTGATTCAATCTCATGTAGCCCTGGGTGGCCTTGAACTCAGAGAGCTCCATCTGCCTTTGTCTCCTGAGACCTGGGATTGAAGGTGTGTGCCACCACTGCCTGGCTTCTATAGCTAACTAGTGTGGCTGCTTTGCTATTTTGATCTCTAGTGGCTTTAACAAATCATAACAAATATATCACTATACATTGCAGTATGGCTAATTCCATTATTTTATCATTCAGATGTGAGGGAACCAGTTATACTAAAACCTGATCATTTACCAGGCAGTTGTGGTACAGGCCTTTTAATTCCAGCACTTGGGAGGCAGAGGCAGGGGAAATCTGTGAGTTGGAAGCCAGTCTGGTCTACAAAACAAGTTCCAAGGCAGGCTCCAAAGCTACACAGAGAAACCCTGTCTCAAAAAAAGCAAAAAGACAAACCAAAATCAAAAACCAAAACCTGATCCTTTCAAGGACATCTTCCCTTTAAAATGTATTTCTATCCATCCATTCTGGACTAGAAGTTCTGGCTTTTCATCACATCATTCAGAGTTGCCTTTGATAAGCACAGGACTTCACTCTCCCACTGCCTAAGGATCAGAATGTAACTTACAGAGCCCCCAAATGATGAAGAATCCTTGCCTAAGAGGAAACAGCTTTTCCCAACCTGTTCCTGTTAACCAAACCAGCAGCTAGTGCTGGATGCCAGAGTCTAGCACTCTGGACTTTTCTGCTATTTACGATGATAAAGGGATCTTATTGGGTTGTCTTGGGCCAGGGCTGCTAACCCCTCTGTACCTCCTTGTTATCTGACTTTTACACAGTCAAAAGACTCCAGCACAAAGGGTTGGCAAGATATCTCAGGGGGTAAAGATACCATGTTTGATGGTTTTTATGCCAATTCCACATAAGCTGAGGTCATCTGAGAGGAGAGAACCTCAAGAAAATGCCTCCTTCAGAAAGGGCTGTAAGCAAACCTGTAAGGCATTCTCTTAGTGATTGATGGAAGAGGGCCCAACCTATTGTGGATGGTGCCATCCCTGGGATGCTTGTCCTGGGTTCTGTAAGAAAGCAGACTGAGCAAGCCATGATGAGGAAGCCAGTAAGCAGCACCCTCCATGGCCTCTGCATCAGCTCCTACCTCCAGGTTCCTGCCCTGTTTGAGTTCCTGTCCTGACTTTCTTCAATGGTGAACAGCAATGTGGAAGTTGTAAGCCAAATAAACCAACCCTTTCTTCCCCAACTTGCGCTTTGGTCACAGTGTACAGCAATAGAAACCCTAGTTAGGTACTTATGGCAAAGCCTAAAGATCTGAGTTCTATCTCTACAGAAAAAAGCAAACAAACAAAACACAACCTGACTCTAAAATTATCCTGACCTCTACAAGTGCCCTCCAAATAAATAAATAAATAAAGATGATTAATAGCTAGGTATCAAACCAGGTATCAGATGTCAGCCTGAGTTACATAGGCCCTGGCCAGCCCAGGCTACATAACAAGACTGTCGCAAAAAACAAAACAAAACTCAAGCAAAACAAGAATTAAGGTGGTGGGGGGAGAGAGGAGGGAATCTTGCTCTCAGCTCTTTGCCACCATTCACCAAAGGAATACTTCTAAATAGCTTTCTCCCTAATTTTATTTATTTATTTATTTATTTATTTTGGTTTTTTTTCGAGACAGGGTTTCTCTGTGGCTTTGGAGGCTGTCCTGGAACTTGCTCTTATAGACCAAGCTGGTCTCGAACTCAGAGATCCACCTGCCTCTGACTCCCAAGTGCTGAGATTAAAGGCATGCACCACCAATGCCTGGCTTCCCTAATGTTTTGATTTTATTTCAAATATGGTTTTATGCCAGAAGGGAGGGCAGCTGCATGCTGAAGTTGGAAAGAGGCTTCCAGCTGCCACAGTGCATAGGGCTGCACTGAGGGGCTGGAGAGAACTGTGTGAGGATCACCAAACAGAACCAGTCCCTCTCTGCATTAGCTTCCCAGTGCTGTTAATACCTGGGCTATATATTTACAGAGACCAGTGTTCTTAACTTCATCACCCAAGGAAGCACAAAGCTGGCAACAAGACCTTACCAGTCCCTGGAGAGGGAAAGGGTCTAGGGGGGCTAGTTCAAGAAGTAATCTCTTGTTTTTGAGACAGGGTCTCTCTGTGTAGCCCTGGCTGTCCTGAAACTATGTAGACCAGGCCGCTGTCAAAACTCAGAGAAATCCACCAGCTTCTACCTCACCAGTGCTGGGATTAGAAGAATGAATGACTGCCACCCAGCTTTTCTTCTCCCATGACAGGGTTTCTGTGTAGCCCTGGCTGTATGGACCAAGCTGGCCTTGAACTCACAGAGAACTGCCTAACTCTGCCTCTGCCTCTTGAATGCTAAGAATAAAGGCATGTGCCACTAAGCCAGGCTAAGGAATCTTTTATACCTTTAACCTTGCCCTAACAATCATGGGTGAGTAATGAGATACGGTGGTCAGGAGGCCCTAGTGTTAAGTCCTGTCTTTGAAATACACTGACAAATTACAAGTACTGCTGGTTACTTCTCACTTCTGGATTTGTGTTCTCTGGGAAGGATCTCTACAGACAAGCCTTTTGCTTTGCTGGTTGTGTATGACTGGCAAGCATCCAGAAACGCCTCCAACAAATACCAGCCAGAAGCAGAAACAGGAGTTAAGTTGAACACTGAAGAGTTAGGGATTACTGTAAAACCGGCAACTGCGTTAAAAAGTTTGACACAGTGGCACAGCAACCCTAGCCCTCGGGAGGATGATCAGCATTACACATTTGAGATCAGGCTGGGCTAAGCAGCAGAACCATGTTTCAAGTCAAAGTATCAGAAAGAGGGTTGGGGAGAATGAAAGAAGGGCCAAGAAGATGCCAAGAGCTGCTGGCTGCAAAGGGCTGTGAGGGTACACAGCAGTTGACAACTAGTGTTCAGCAGGCCAAACCACCAGATTATTGATTCCCTGATGGGGAGCCCCACCTGTCAAGGCCATGGGATCACTGGCTGTAGGTAACTGCCTGTGTCTGTCTGTATTTCTCTCATGAGCCACTTCATTTCTTCCCTAAGAACTGCTAAGCATGTTTCCCCACTGCTTGTGTGTTTATCCCATGTATATATTCTATCTGTTGCACACACATAGCTGTGGATAGTCGGGAAGATGGTTTCTGCCTTGACACTAGGATACTTTTCATTACTTAGACTGACACAGAATCCTCAGTCATAAAGACAGCCTTTTACATAGGCAGCTAACTTTAGATTCCAGGGCAAATTCAAATCAAACTCGTTACCCCTAGACAAACACACGAGGCCATTTTCCCAGGTGTTTTGCTGATTCATGGTCAGAGCTAGAAGTAACTTTAGGGGACATAAATGGACTTTCTGCTTGTTCCCTACCACTCAAGGCCCAGCTAATTGTCATTGTTAAGTCTTAAACTTCAGTGTCATTTTCTGTTTAGGAAAGAGCTCTCTATATGCATGGCCAACTGATACGGTCCTACCAAGGTGATTGGTCTCTCTAGCCTAAGAGAAACTGTGTGACTCATCTTGAGTTATAAGAATGGGTCAGGCCATGAAAATGTAACGTAATTTGTCATTCAGAGTTTGGCTGTGGGAGAGAGTGGAGAAAGGGAATAGAGAGATGAGAGAGGGACATAGAGCTAATTAGGAAGCTATGAAGAGAGATTTCTCAGATTTTTTTCAAGAAGAAGTAAAAGCACCAGAAAATGTCTGTGTTTTCTTATTTTTCCCCTCAGATAGGTAAGAATTTTTTTCTAAGCCCTCACTGCTCTGAGGTTTTCTCTTGCTACCCTGGAGCAGATCTGGGAGCTGGCCTATTAGTGTGCAGTAAGGAGGCCTACCAGACAGGTAGGTGTAGGGTGCTTTCTGAAGTCTAGAGGAAGGGAAGGGGTGTTTCTGCTGTAATTCGTCAAGGACAGTAGTATTCTCTCATGGCACTTCAGTGCATTGGAACCACAGAGAAAGTCTCTGCCACAGCACCTTATGCAGGACTCCTAAAGTTAATCTGAGCAAATACTAACACTGTTTTCCATGTCTGGCTGGACTAAGGAAGCAAGGGGGTAGGAGTAGATGGCTGCATCTCTACCTGGGCACACTCGTCTTTGCTTATGGGCACTGCAAGAAATGTAGGTGAGTGAGTGAATCTTAAATCTTGGAAAGAATGGTGTGAGAGAAGATTTTTTTGTTTTTTTTTTTTTTGTAGGTGGTAAAAGGTAAGGAAAGGCCAGAGACAGGGAGAATCTCGAACTCATGTATCAGAAAAGTAACATCTGGACAGGAAGATCTTCTGGGAATCTCAAAAGGACTAGGCACACAAATAACATGCAACACAGTGCATAATAGCTCCCCTTTCCCATTTCACAAGGTATGTGTTACATAGACAGCTTTGTTGGTTCAGGGTCCCAAGAATGAGGCACCTATTATTTGTGTGCACAAGGAAGTAGCTCACTCAGTCCAGGCCATCCAACCTTGAGGACTAGAGAAAAAAAATCCACTTATTCTCAAGTGCTGTAGCAACTCAATAAATAACCAGAAAAGGCTGGGCAGTGATGACACATGCCATTGATCCCAGCACTCCGCAGAGCCAGGTGAATCTCTGTGAGTCTGAAGCCAGTCTAATCTATAGAGCTAGTTCCAGGATAGGTAGCCTGTTACACAGAGAAAACCTGTCTCAACAAAACAAAACAAACAAAAAACAGTCAAACCAAACAACTCCGATGATTCCTGTTTGTCCATATAGAATGGGGGTATGCATGAGTACCTCCTACACAGAGAGCTCAGGAACTGAAGTCCTCTCCCAAGCTCACATTTATCTGTGATATGATAATAGCAGGGGTTCCAGAGAGAAAGCCCAGCAACGACCACCTAGCAGTTGTCCTAAGCCAGGGACCTTTCTTAAGGAACATCAAAGAGTTTATCTGGTCATGCAAACAAAAAACAAACAAAAAGCTGCTGGCCAGTGGTGGCACATGCCTTTAATCCCAGCAGGCAAGAGGATCTCTGTGAATTTGAGGCCAGCCTGATCTACAGAGTTCCAGGACAGGTTCCAAAGTGACACAGAGAAACCCTGTCTCAACAAATAAATAAAAAGAATTTACCTGGTCAAGGAAAATGGAGGGGGAGGGAGGGAAGGTGACACACCAGGTGGTATGGAGGGTTGGCCAGAGCCAGGAGAGTACCCACTGCATGGGAAGCTGGCATTTAAGTGGGCTCCCAAGCTCCCTAGCAGGCTGATGGACTAGTGCCTTGCTGGTCCTGCGGAGCTGGAATGCTGGCACAAGAGGCATCAGGATAAACGAGTGGGGCCCTTGGAGGACAGGAAGGCACAGCACAATGAATGATGGTCTTTCCCTATGATGGAGGATATATAGCAGAGAGTTTAATTTTGTTCTTAACCAAAGAAAAATACATACTACCATGGTTACACACAGAGGCTGTGGGAACCTCCTGGGCTCACAATCCTACATACCTGATGAACAAATTACTGAGCCTGGACTTATTTCTAAAACAGATAATAATGGTCAAGTCACAGTGCTATTTTAAACATGCATGTCACACATTTAGCACACAAAAGGTAAATGGAAGCTGTTACCGTTGTTGAGATGAGGTAACAGTAACACACACACACACAACTGAGCCTCAACCCAGTCTCCCTGGGTCCCTTGTGGAAGACTAGAGAATGCATCGTTTGGTGGTTGTCAGTGAAACACCTCCCCAGGATACACCAAACTTTTCTGTACAAGGTAAGATGATGCTTAGATGTGCATTTGTTTGAGGAATGACCGGAGGGGCAAAGGAACAAACCCAAAACTGAATTCTGAATGTGTGGGGGTACCTGGCAGGGAAGAGTTGGACTGAGAAGCTAGCTGTGGAAAGGGACATGAGAAGCCAGTTACCTGGGAGGTCCTTGTTCAAGTGTAACACTGGGAACATTCTTTCCCCCTTAAAGAACTGCCACACAGGCATCTGAGGAGGTTGGAGAAAAGGAGCTACAATGTCCATCCCTTCTCAAGGGGAAGGGAATGTCCTGTACAGACCAACTGAGTGAAGGGAGGAAATAAAGGCAAAAGCCCTACATATTCAAACAAGTAAGGGGGATGGCTCAGAGGTTAAGAGCACTGGCTGCCCTTCCAGAGGTCCTGAGTTCAATTCCCAGCAACCACATGGTAGCTCACAACCATCTATATTGAGATTTAGTGACCTCTTTTGGTCTGCAGGCAAACATGCAGACAAAACACTGTCTACATAATAAATAAGCCTTCAGAAAATAAAAAAAAAGAAAGGAGGGAGGAAGGGAAAGAAAAACCAACCAGCAAAACCCAACTCTCACCTAGAGCCTCCCTAGGAAGGGCATTAGTGGGAATATGGGTATTACATTAGACTCCAGGTTTTCCATGTCTTTGGCTTGGATGGATCAAACTGTCACCTTCTGTCTTCATGTTTTCTATTGCTTATACTCATAACCTCGAGTCCCAACACTGTTCCATTCTGGGGCTATCATGCATCACTTCCCCTAACAGTAATACTCTTCTCCATTTTCTCTGGGGACTCAGGCTTTAAGTCTGCAGAGGTTAACAGCAATTGGCACAGGGCAAGCTATGGAAACTATGGAATACACTGAGGCTGTGGGCTGCTTATGCTTCCTGTGTCCTGGATCATGTGTGCCCCCTCCAAAACAAAACCAACCAACCAACAAACGGAACTATCCTCATCCCCAACCACAGGTTCACTGTGCTGGGTAAGCCTTATTTCTCTTTTTAATTTGCAAAGACAGTCTCATGTAACCCAGGATAGCTTGAATAATCAATCAACCATATTACCTGGCTGACCTCAAACTCAATAGTCCCCCTAGTGTGATTGGAGAATACTTTCTAACCTATACTGTGCTATGAACAGATCATAAAACACCAAAATGTAGCCCTAAAGACCCAGTGGCTCACACCAATAATCCCAGCTCAGCAGAAGCTAGGGCAGAGACCTGCATGTTGGAGCCAGCCTGGGCTAGAGACCCTTTCCAGGAAAAAAAAAAAAAAAAAAGTAACCTTAAAGGACCACCTAACTGAAATCCAACTTCACTTCTCACAGAGGAACCTGGAGTCCAAAAAATAAATACACTGCTCAGACATACAGATACAGGCACAAAGAACAAATCAGTAGTGATTTTCATGATTCACTGTCCCTAGACAAAGTGCTAAAGGTTCGCAGAGACACCCAGAAAAATAAGGCTGGCATTCATTTTTCTGGAAGCCTGACTATGCAAACCCCTTAGATGCCCCATTATTTGAGTAGTATACGGGCAGGTTCAGAGTTGGTTTTGCCACCATCTTATTCCTAATGAGGCTTGCCTGGTGGCTCAAGAACTGTCTCACCGGTCCTTGATGACTGCAGCTAGGAACTGTTGAGAGTCAAGGGAATCCTGTCACACTGCCAGGGCCCTGGGGGCAATGGTCAGATTCCTGGGGTTAAAGCAAGGCAATTTCGGCTCAGATAAAGCTAGGGTGGGCAGGACTAGGGGACCTGAGGTGGTAAGGCCAGTAGGAGGGAAGCAATCCGAATGACTTCACTGGGCTTCCAAGTCCAAGGAGGCTTAACTTTCCAGAGTCCTGGGGCCTCTTCTCTCGAATTCCTAGAGTTCCTTCCGCTTTACACCCACCAGCCGTTTTTCACCCTAATCTCTCATTCTCCCCCCACCCCCCGGGACCGCTCTCCACCCATCTACCAATTGTGGTTCCCGGATTCCTGGCGCCACAGTCTCCCCGGACGCTAGGGTGCCACTGTTTTGTCCCTGCTGTGGCCGGCAGGAGCCTAGTCTCAAATAAAATGGATCCAGCCCTGGGGCTCCGCGGCTCCGGCACCACCAGGGTGCTCGGGTCCAAGCAGCGCGTAGTCACGGCCGCCGTTGTTGTCCCAGAACTCGCGGCCGGTCACACGGTAGCGCAGGGCGAAGAGCAGAGCGCCGCCGACCGGAGGCGCCGGCAGGCGGAAGGAGAAGCGGTCAGCCCGCGGTGGGGCCGGGGCTGGGCCGGCGTAGGCGGCAGGCGACTCCCGCAGGCTGCGCCAGCCGTCCGCGCTCCAGCGCACGCTCACGCGCTTCTCGTAGGCCAAGTCCAGCACGCGCGCGCTCCCGGCCACGCCCAGAGGGCCCGCGTCGGCGCGCTCCAGGCAGATGCGTTGCGCCTGCAGGCGGGCGGCGAAGCCGGGCTCCAGGGCGGGCTCCAGGGCCACGCGCGCCTCCTGAGGAGAGAGGGCGGGGAGGCAGGTCAGAGTAGGGCTTGGAGCGCGAAGGCCAAGGTCCCGGGGGACGGGGCGTGGCGGGGAGCCTACCTGGAGGCCGCGGGCGCGCGGCGGGCACGGCGCGAAGTGGCGCAAGGCGTCCCTCTGCAGTTGCACCTGCACGTGGCGGGGCACCCGGGGCGGTTCCCCCGGGCGGAAGCGGCGGACCACTACGAGCTCTAGTCCCAGTGCGTCAGCGAAACGCACTCTCTTGCGAGTGTCAGGGCTGCGGCTGCGGGCTGCCCGCGCCCCGCCGCCACCTGCGGGCGCAGAGCGGGCCCTGCGCCCCCGACCCGGAACGTGAGCCCGCGAGCGGGCGCCGGGCCGGGCCCCGCCCTCCCCCGGCTCCTCCTCCGACTCCTCCTCGAGGCTGGGCCGCTGGCTGCGGTAGTAGGCACGCTCAGTCAGCGCTGCAATAAAGCTCAGGTTGCGAGGGATGTCGGTGCGCGGAGGCCGCTCGCGGGACATGTCACCCCTGCGCCCCAGCGGGGCCAGCGCGCAGTGCCCGGCGCGTCCTCGCTCGCCCGCCTGCTCTGTGGCCGCGCATAAGGTGAAGGGCTGCTTTGGCAGCTGCTGGCCCTGGACTCGCTTTGCTGTTACCTCGCGTACTTGGCCTGGCGGGTTTCCTTCACCACCTTTCCCTCCCTTTGGCGGTCAACCCCACTACCTTCTTAGACTGTCCGTCCTGCCTGCTTCCAGCAGTCTGCTCTGAGCGTGCGCTCAACGGCGCTCTCCCTTCGGTTCTGTGGGCCTCGCTGACCCGGCCCCCGCCCACAGCCCTCTGACAGGTGGCTGGGTATCTATCTTCATTGCTGCACCAGGGGGCGGGACTGACTCCACCCTCGGGGTCCCAAATGAGTAACTCCGGTATGAGAAGGGTTAAAGCGGGGAGGAAAGAGTAATCTTTCATTTTCTTGCACGGAAAATTAAAAATGCCGAGGGGTTAACTCTCTCCAGAGCTCAGTGTTTTCTTAAACCCAGGCTACAGGTTTGGGATAGAGGTGATGATGGATGTGGTAAAAGAAAGGCCACGAATCCTAGGTTGAGTCTTTCAAGTAGAAAACGCCAAAGGATGAGGCGGTGGACACAGGACTGGCTATTGTCCAGTTTCATTTTTGAAAAACTAGTGACAATTTTACAATGGTATGTAAAATGTTTTCTAACTTCTCTACTGATCTTTTTCAACAATTTGTTTCCGTTTTAAGATTATGTGTATGGTGTCGGGCTTTATGTATACTGGGTGCAGTGTCCACAGGGGCCAGAAGGGGACATCAGATACCAAGGAGCTGGGGTTACAGGTGGGTGTGAGTTGCTACACGTGAGTTCTGAGAACCCACTAGGGCTCTCTAAACTTCTGAGCCATTTCTCCTGCTCTCTATAGAGTTTTACAGTACAAAACACTAGGCATTATTACAGTATTTGTAATTGTTAACAAATATTACAAATGAGGAAATTGAGAGGGAGGGAAAGGATCCTTGCCTAGTGTCACATAGTTTCTAGTTGTGGGACTAGGATTAGGACCTCAGCAGCTAAACTCTAGAGTCCATTCTCTTAATCATTTAGTTGTTATACATTAAAACAGTTAATGATGCTACTAGCATTTTCATTAAATGATAATGTTAACATCTAATATAAAAGTGGGCGTTACAGAGCTGGAAAAATGGCTCAGTGCTAAGAGTGTGTACTACTCCACAGGATCTGCTGCCCTCTTCTGGCCTCCAAGAGCACCTGCACCTACATGGACACACACAGCCACATAATTAAAATTAAATGTATGTATTTTTTAAATGAAATGGGCTGGGCATGGTGACTCACACCTTTAATCCCAACACTCAGGAGGCAGAAGCAGGTAGTTTGAGGCAAACCTGGTCTACAGAAGGAGTTCCAGGATGGCCAGTGATACACTGAGAAACCCTATCTTAAAAATCCAAAATAAAGCCATGTGTGGTGGCACACACCTTTTAATTCCAGCACTAAGGAGGTAGAGGCAGGCAGATCTACATAGTTTGAGGCCAGCCTGGTCTTCAAAGTGAGTTCCAAGGCAGGCAGGGCTGTCACACAGAGAACCCTTGTCTCAGGAAGGAAGGAAGGAAAGAAGGACGGAAGGGGAGACTATATAAGTAATAAAACAGGGCCAAGAATAGTGATGCATATGTATGTCTTTAATCCTAACACAAGGCAGAAGCAAGTAGATCTCTGAGTTCAAGGTTAACCTGGTCTACATAGTGAGAGCTATATAGTGAGACCTGCCTCTAATAGATAGATAGATAGATAGATAGATGATAGATAGATAGATAATAAATAAAATGGGGCCATGACTGGTGGTACATGCTTTTAATCTCAGTACTCAGGAGACAAAGGCAAGTAGACCTCTGTGAGTTTAAGGTTAACCTGGTCTACATAATGCGTTCCAGGACAGCCATGACTGAATAGAGAGACCCTGTCTCAAAGGAAAGGAAAAGATTTATTTAGTTGTGGTGCTAGGGTTTGAACCCAGGGCTTCATGCATGCTGGGCAAATACTCTACCACTGAGCTAATTGAACTTTCTAGATTTATAACAGGATGGTTTAACAAAACAAAACAGAAGCAACTCAAGAGGAAATAAACAGTGAGATGTATGCTATATTATTATACAGTTCATCCCTGTGTGTGTTTCTACTGCAGCATTAAACAGCAATAATAGCTAGGACTCATTTTTAAAAACCACATTGAGTTTTGTTTCTTATTTCACACATAAAATGCATGAGCATACTTCATGTTTTAAAGTGTAAAATAATTGTACGCTAATTAATGTCACAATCCAGCAGTTTAAAGAGAACCTCCTCGATCTGGAGAAATAAATGTCATGGCAGTAAAACCAAGGCGATCCCTGGAAAGTTTGTGGCCTGAAGTTTTTGGCAAAAGGTCTGTTGCCTTGTTTACACCTTGCACAAACCTGCCTTGGCTTTGTAATGTGGGGCTGCAAAGATTCTTGAGGTATATAACTTTGAACTAGATGGAAGTCTGACAACTTGGTCCTGAGTGCTCATAGTGACTTTGAGTCTTTGTTCCTAATTAGTCTTTATTTCCTGAACAGCAACTGCAGTAATCTTTAAACACCTGACTGGAACTGCTCAGAGATTGACAAGAGGTGTCAAAATTGATTCATTTACTCATCATTTGCTGTTGGCTTCTTTGAACATGAAGACACACATTTGAATAAACCACAGCCCTGGCTGTCAAAGAGATAAACAGTCAGACAGAAATATATTAGGGTCTGTTAAGATAAGTAATGAAAAAAATTCAGGTTGGGGTGCACTTTTACAATCCCTGCACTAATCAAGAGGTGCAGACAGAAGGTTCATCTGAGTCATCTTCATCTACACAGTGAGTTCAAGACCAGCCTGGACTGCATGAGACCCCAAAAGTATATTTATTTCAGGTAAATGTTTTAGAATAAACCATATTGAAAATGAAAGCCTTAAAGTAGATCTGTCTCTAAAAATAAATGGGAGAATGATCAGCCCAAGTGTAGAGAGATATTCACTTTGTCCCCACCTGTGGCACTGACCACGCCCATTGGGGGTGGGGACAGGAGCTGACAAGACATGGGGGAACTAGGTCTGGGGAAGAAGCCCCCCCCCCACCTCAGGAGCTCTCTTGCTTGCAGCACAGGGCCATAAGAACATCCAGAGGCATCCTTGGGACTAGGAACCTGCTGGTGTTCATCTGCCTCTACTGTAACTTATTTCTCCCTGAATAAACATCTTTCAGCCTATTTGTTTTTCCTGATCCTTACTAAACCACGATACCCAAGAACAAAGGAGGAATGTGATACGTGAAAGGCAGAACTGTGAGAGAGTGGGAAGGCTGTATGTTCAGGATGGGAGGGCTGAGTGGAACTCAGAGCTGCTGTGGGTCACAGCTACATTGACTGTGAAAGGCATGAAGAGGCCATCTTCAGACAATGCACTGTCAAAAGCTCAAACTTACATGTCAGACTAGTTTAGATTTGAGTCCTAGCTTCTCTCCTTGGTGTGTGGATTTGGGCAAATGACCACCTTTAAAAGCCCCAGATTCCTTTTTCATGGAATAACGGTAAAAAAACCTAAGGAATGATGTGAGAACAAAAAGTATACATGTAAAGAAAGTACTGTGAGTCAGATGTGGCACACCTTTGATCTCAGCACTCAGGAGGCAAAGGCAGGCAGATCTCTGTGAGTTCGAGGTCAACCTGGTCTACAGAGCAAGTTCCAGAACAGGCTCCAAAGTTACAGAGAAACCCTGTCTCAAAAAACAAACCAACAAACAAAAACCCGGGCATTAACCTTAACATTGGCATTTAGGAAAAGTGTGTAAGATTAGTAAACGTATTCACTTGTGCCTTTTATTGTTTGACCTTTTTAAATAATGAGAATTCATTCATGTTGTAGGTTAAAAAAATAATGAAAATCAATCTGATCACAAAAAATGAAGAGTACTTAAGGACACTGCAGTTCAAGGCCTCCCACCCTGATGCCTAGCTGAAGCTCCAGCCCAGGAAGAGCCCACTAAAGGTCCTGGGTGTGTTCAGAGTCCCTACTAGTCCCACAAGGGCAAGGCGCTGTTCCCAGGTTAATGGGAACTGCTCTTGTTTTCCCAGGCACACAATCCAAAGCTTGGAAGATCAACAAGTGCATGAATAGGAGAAACCTTTCGGAAATGCTGAATTTGCAGCAAGATGTTGAGGCCCGGTGTGTTTCTCTGGATACGCTGCGGGGCTCAGTAAGCAGGCTGCGCAGGTCACAGAAGCCTCTGCACAACCTTTCTTTCTATGGCCCTCTCTTCCAGGAGTTGTGGCCCTTCTCAGCCCTGCCTCCCAGCCCCGCCCCTCTCTCTGGACGCATCTCTGGGTCCCATCATCACCCGGCGCCGGGCCCTCCCTCCCGGCCCCCCCTCCTCCCTCCTTCCTTCCCTTCCTCCCTCTCTCCCTCCCTCCTAGCTCCTCCACCAGGAAACAACCGGATCCGGATCCCGGCTGCGGCCTGACCCGTGAGATTCCCTAACCTGGCTGACCGGTGGGGTAGGAGACCAGCTAAGAGTGGGAGAAAGGGAGGAGTCGGGCCTTTGGGCTGCACTTGGGGGAACCCGGAGTAGAGATGGTGTTGGCAGGAAGCCCGTGGCCCCGGGTTTCCCGAGAGGGCAGTCATTAAACATGGAATCGGCCACACAGCTGGCAAAGCGTTGGAGGCAGGGGCCCAGTCCCAGGAGCTGCAATTCCAGCCCTTTCCGGGCCAGACCCAGGCCCCTGGCCTTTTTCACCTAGTTCTGCTTTCTCCTTCCCTTGTCCAGGGTTCCACTCTGGCTGGGAGGATGAACGGCCTCAGCTGGGAGCTCCCCGCCACCAGCACTGGGTCCTAAGAGCTGCCATCCAGGCTGGTAAGTGCTCTGCCCCATGTAGTCCTTGCTTTACCTATCTTGCTCTTCCGCCCCTGTCTCCTCCCTATCTTGTGCCTCTGCCAACGTCTTCACATCATGCTCCTGGGGAGGTCCTAACCCTCCTCCCTTTGCCAAAACGGTGTGTGTATTGGGGAAATTGGGTTGGGGGTGCAGAGGTGTCATACAGCTGGTGTCGTATGAAAGGAATCTGAAGTAGTCTAAAATTAAAATGTCCTGTTGCACACTAATTTGACATGTTATACGTGGTCAGCTGCTTATGCCCTGGACCTACCCCATGACTTAAATCCTTTTGCTCGTTTGTCCCTGCCTAGTGGTCTCTGAGCATTTTACCTATCTCAGGAGCTTGACCAAACAGGAAATGTCCCTTTGGGGGTCTGTCTCAATTATTTTCTATATATTTATGTCAGTCTGTCGTCCTTGCCCCTTTTAGCCGCCCGGATGGCGACCCCAGCCTCAGCCCCAGACACACGGGCTCTAGTGGCTGACTTTGTAGGCTATAAGCTGAGGCAGAAGGGTTATGTCTGTGGAGCTGGCCCTGGGGAGGGCCCAGCAGCTGACCCGCTGCACCAAGCCATGCGGGCTGCTGGAGATGAGTTTGAGACACGCTTCCGGCGCACCTTCTCTGACCTGGCTGCTCAGCTACACGTGACCCCAGGCTCTGCCCAGCAGCGCTTCACCCAGGTTTCCGACGAACTTTTCCAAGGGGGCCCCAATTGGGGCCGTCTTGTGGCATTCTTTGTCTTTGGGGCTGCCCTGTGTGCTGAAAGTGTCAACAAGGAAATGGAGCCGCTCGTGGGACAAGTGCAGGATTGGATGGTGACCTACCTGGAGACTAGGCTGGCCGACTGGATCCACAGCAGTGGGGGCTGGGTAAGAAGCTTCTCAATTGGCCCTACGCATCCCTCTGCAAGCTGGCCTTCATGGGAAAGTGGGGCCTCTGAATGTACTGGGATGGAGCCATCAGGGCCGAGTTCCCCTATTTAAGTGGAATCAGACCGAAAGCAGCAAGCTAACTGTACTCCAGGGCTGCCAGGCAGTAATCACTGGGTGGGTTTCATGGTCTCAAGCAGAAGACTGAGTACAGAGTTTTATAAACAGTACCCAACGAGAGCCTTCGGAGAAAAGGTGTGACCCTGAGTACATAGTCTGGACAGTGGGGAGGATCAGGGATGAGTTGTGGTTAAGCAAGCCTTAGCAAAGAATGCCGGTTCTGAGCAGATTTTTTTTTGGGGGGGGTCAGGGAAAGGATGGGCCTCACTTGATGCAGACAGTACACAGGAGCCAAGGACCCTGGGCAGGGGGTTTGGGGTTGTGAGGGGCTTGTAGGCAGTAGAGCTTTGGCTAGAGGGGCTGGGTGTGGGCAGTGCTCACAGTGGATGGAACTGGAACTCTTCCTCCCCTCTTCTCTCCACTCTCCTCCCCTGATATCCCTTTCTCCTTTCTCTACTTCCCTTCTCTCCCACAGGCGGAGTTCACAGCTCTGTACGGGGACGGGGCCCTGGAGGAGGCACGGCGTCTGCGGGAGGGGAACTGGGCATCAGTGAGGACAGTGCTGACCGGGGCTGTGGCACTGGGGGCCCTGGTAACTGTAGGGGCCTTTTTTGCTAGCAAGTGAGCAAGTGTAGGGCCAGGTGGGGCTAGGTGTGGCTAGGGGCCAGGAGAGCTGGGACAGAACAGAGAATGCCCTGGGAAGAAACTGGATGGTCATGGAAGAGAAGGGCAGGGGAAGGAACTATGTGAGGGAGCCAAGCATGACAGGCAGGTGGCAAGGAGAAACACTGAGGAATGTTTCGAGGCCAGGAGCCTAGGAGATGGAGTCATCCCAGGGCTTGGGGGGAGGTGGGAGGGATCATGCCCACAGCATGGGCACACAGGCTCCAAGGAAGGTGAACCTGTTTAAAGAATCGTGTCCCCGTTAGAAGAACGGGGTATAAGGAACCTAGAATTCACCTCCCTTTGGAATGGAAGCTTGGTTGTTAGGTGACTGGATGAAATGGCTGCACAGGCACACGTGTACATGCTGCACATGCACGAAGGCTCATGTGCATGCTGGGCTGTTTGTTGAGTCTGGTGATGGGATATTTAGTGAAAACATTCCTTCTTGCAGTGGCAAGAACAAGGGCCAGCTCACTGCCCTTTCCCCTCTGTCCCTACCCTTGACCTTGTGCCTCCAGGCTGAGGGAGGAATACTGTATCTAGATGAGGGTTCTGGCACTGCTGAAAGCTGTTGGCAGGGCTTTGGAGAGAAAAGTTCTGCATCTGGCCTTGTGCTTCATCGCTCCCCTTTTGTGTGCACCTTTGTGCCTGGGCTGACAGAGGGTAAGGCTGTGGAGCCTGGGTGGGTAGAAGCTTTGGTAGTTGGACCTGCCTGCCACCTTCCCCACCACTGGGGGCACAATGGTGCCTAAAGTGTTGCCTATTTCTAGGACCTCTTTATCCAGCAGAAACTCTACACCGGGGCTCTAATCTTCCTTTAGAGGATGTGGACATAAATGCTGACCTAGAATTCAGTTTGGGTCCTGAACGGTCTCAGTGAGACTGCTTTGCCTTGAGAGGAACATTCTAGTTCTGAGCCCCTGGGTGTGATGGTGACAGATACTCCTTGACTGGACTATTCTATGTGGTGGGTTTTGGTGCTGCTTTATCAGGGGCCAGGTATATGGGTTCTAGAGCACCTACCATGACCTAAACACTTCATGTTTCTTTTGAAGCCATGCTCTTTGCACGGGCATATTATTGTCAATACTGAGTCTCTGAAGACGCTAATACTAGATAGAACTCATAGAGTCTGGTCCTCTAGAACAAATCCAGAGAAATTATTCACTCCAAATGCATGCCCTGAGCCAGACCTCACTGCTGCACTTGCCGAGGTGCTAACAATGCTGCTCTTCGATGCTTGACTTCCTTCACAGTGCTCTAGAACCCGACCTCCAATCCTCAGCACTGATCAACTTAGCTAGACCACAGCTGATTTGACTACTTTTCACTTGGTCCTAGAATGTGGCATCATATTCATATTGTGCTTGCTAGAATGTGGGACCAAATTGGCGTCAGGTGTCTAGTCCAGACTTTTGCTTTGGAGAGGGTTGCACTTTTTAATAGTGTCTGTGGGGAATGTGGTAGACTGCATGTGCCAGTTGGTCTGTTTCAAGTGTGCTGATCTAAGAAACTCAGCTATCTGTAGCAAGCAGTTGGAGTGGGAGGCTCTGACTTGCTCCGGACAAACTAGGCCAGTGGTTTTCAAACTGCTTGGCAGAGGCCTGAAGTGTTCTAGAGGTTACCTCAGGAGTCCTTAAGGAAATGAGGGAGTGGAGGGCTGCACAGGCTTGGCGATTTGCCCTCAGATGGAACAGCTCCACTTGTAGCTGTCTTATGTATCGGGGTTCAGGGTAAGATTTTATTTGTGGTAAGGGCTCTGCTGCTGAGAAGTTGGAAAACCACTGACCAGATCATCAGCTCCAGCTGGAGCCTATACTCCTCCACATTCAGGGAAGAGTCTATTCTACCCTTCCCACAGGACACCAACCCAAGTTAGCATTCCTGGAGGCCTTTAGCAAACAGGAGCATCGGGAACCATGGTCAAGTTACCAACATGCTCTACTCGAGCCTTCCCACAGGGTGGAAGGAGAGGCTGTGTTATGAGAGGGTAAAGGGCTTGGTCTGGATTCCTAGAAGCTTAGCTGAGATGGGACCACAGTGGGGAGGTGTGATCTGTTCTGCCCTTTGTTTAAGGGCCAGTGGAAACCCAGAGAGTCTCCTGTCAGGGAAAACCAGGGACTGTCTTTAGAGCCATATAGTTCCTTTGGATTAGCTCTTGGCCAAGAGGGCTGATTATGGCTCCCAATTTTTAAATCCATTTCATTTTTTTTAAATGAAGGAAATGGATATAATTTTTCAAAGACTAAATAGGTGGAGAGGATGTTCTTGCTCTCCAAAGCCCAAAGGGACAAATAGGGACTTTGCTTATAGGCCAAGGAAAGAGCGGAAGTGGGTAACTCAGTCCTGCAATTATTAATCCCACTCCCCACTTACACTAGGGCATACATATACTATTTTACTTTTTTAAATCATAAACGGCAGGAGAACAGATTTGGTTAGTTTAGAAGAAGAGAAAAAGCTCTATAAATATAAATATATATTCCTGTATTTTTATTTAATAATTTATAAATGCCAAGTTCATTTGACTTTTATTTTTGTGTAATATGTAATGGTCGTATTAAAAATAAATAAAGCCCAGAAATTTAATGAGAAGTACTGAACAGGGTTTTGTGACTTCTATACTGTACAGCCTGGGTTTTAGAACATTCCTTAAGCTGGTCATTTCTTATGACCATGTCCTTGCTAAGGAAAATAATAGAGTTACAGGGATTTGGGAAAGTATGAGATTAAAAAGAATCACCATATCACCATGCCACCCTGGCCAAACACCCAACCCTAAGAACTGTACCGGTGGGGACTTCAAGAAGGTATAGGCATAGGGTACATTGGAAGCCCCCGCCCCAATATCCTGGCTTGGTGTGGTGGCAAACAACTGCAATCCATCGGTAAGAGGGGGAGACAGGAAGGTTGACCACCCAGGTACATAGAGAGTTCAAGGCCAGCTAAGATTTCATGATACCTTGTCTCTCTAAACAAATCAGAAAGCAAAAGGGTAATTAATAAATGGAAGGTCATTCTTAAATAATGTTCTCAAATATAAAAGCTAGGCTGAGATCAGCCTAGTTTACGAAACGAGCAGAACAAGTTCCAGGACAGCCAAGGCTACACAGAGAAACCCTGTCTCCAAAAAGAAAAAAAAGAAAAAAGAAAAAAGAAAAAAAAAGAAAGAAAGAAAAGAGAGAAAAGCTAGGCTGTGAACTCAGCTATGAGTTTCTTGGCAGCCAAAGCTTTATAGTCACTCTTAGAAGGCAAAGTTTTCTGAAAACATACTTAGAGACATAATTGATGGTAAAGAGAATATTTTATATCCTTGTTCTTTTAGAAATACCAAGTGGGGAGCTGGAGAGATGGCTCAATGGTTGTGAGCACTGGCTGCTCATTCAGAGGTCCTGAGTTTAATTCCCAGCAACCACATGGTGGCTCACAATCATCTATAATGAAATTTGGTGCCCTCTTCTGACCTTCAGGCTTACATGTACACAGAACACTATGCATATTAAATACATAAATCTTAAAAAAAAAAAATGAGAATCCAGGTCTTAGTTTTGCTCTATCAGCCTCATTACAATGTAGTCCAAATATGTTACTTTATAATGGTCTGATTGCTAAATTTTAGACTATCCAAAGGGACAGGTAACTGTTTCTCTATAAATTCCACTCCTTCAGATGGCACTTTTAACAAAGTTCGACAAAGTTATAATTTCTGCCCACTGAGAAGGTGGAGAGGTTGGGCTGCAGTGGTTCTGGCTCAGGCTGTAATTCTGGTGTACCTCAGGTGCAAACACCTCAAGTGTAGGTCTGCCTGGGACTACATAGTCAGCTCTAAGCCAGCCTAGGCTGCAAGAGAATACTCATTGTCAGTGGAAAGCACAAAACCAAAGCCTACTGTTTCTGACAAATGGGTACATCATAGCTATTCTTTTTTTTTTTTTTTTTTTTCATAGCTATTCTTTTATAAGTTTTTTTTCCTTGCGTTTTATTTGATTTATTTTTTGAGACAAGATTTCTCTGGCTGTCTTAGAACTCACTCTGTAGACTGCCTCTGCCTCCCAAGTGCTAGGATTAAAACCACCACTGCCTGTTTTTCTTTCTTTCTTCCTTCCCTTTTCTTCTTCTTTTTTTTTTTTTTTTTTTTTTTTTTTTTTTAAATAGGTTTTCTTGAGACACGATTTCTTTGTGGTAACAGTCCTGGCTGTCCTGGAACTTCTTTGTAGACCAGGCTGGCCTCGAACTCACTGAGATCTGCCTTATTAAGGGCATGTGCCGCCGCCTCTGCAACCACCACCTGGCCAGCTTTCTTTTTTGAAATAGGTTCTTGCTAGCAGTCCAGGCTAGCTGCAGACTCACAGTCTCTGGATTCCAGGTGTGTACCACCACATCTGGCTGAATTCTTTAAATGTGGCTATGGGAAACTATATAAATAATAAAAACACAACCAGAAGCTAGATTCAGTGCTGCCAGTATATAATCGCAGCATTTGGGAGGTAGAGGCAGGAGGACTGGTAGTTCAGGGCCAGTGTTAAACACATTCAGAGACAATAGAAAATTTGAGCAGAAAACAATGAACTGTTATGGTTGTTTTTCATTCATCATTTACTCTTAGAGAACATGTCCTAATATTTTCTGTGTACTTAGCATACATAGCTCTAGGCATGCAGACAAAGAGAATAGAAAGCACCTCAGCTTACATGTTGCTTACACACTAGTAAGGAAATTTTTTGACATGTTAAAAGATAGTAAATACTATGAAGAATGATGTGTGTGGTGTGGTGGCACACACCTACATTCTGGCACTAAGGAGGCCATGGCAAGCAGACCTCTAGAAGTTCAAGGCTAGCCTGTCTAAAAATATTTTTAAGTAAAAAGAAAAAGCAAAGTTGGGAATATGCAGCTATTCTAATTTTAAATCAGATGGTGAAAAAA